AAGGGCAAAGTTCAAGGATTGGGCAAAGTTGCAATATCAAATGATCATTCAATAACAAATGTTCTATATGTTGCTTCATTGAGTTTCAACTTGCTATCTGTTGGTCAATTATGTGATCTTGGCTTTCAATGTTTGTTTATCGAGAAGTGGTTGTGTTAAACAAAGATGATGATCAAGCTATATTCAAGGGTTTTAGATACAACAACATATATCTAGTGGATTTCACCTCTGAAGATGCAAACTTGAAGGCATGCTTATTCACCAAAACATCACTTGGGTGGCTATGACATAGAAGACTTACACATGTTGGGATGAGCTCACTCAAGAAGCTAATGAAGAATGAATTGGTGAGAGGTTTGAAGGATGTGAAATTTGAGAAGGACAAGCTTTGTAGTGCATGTCAAGCCGACAAGCAAGTTGCAAACACTCATCCAATAAGAGCTTACATGTCAGCAACAAGAGTGCTAGAGCTTCTTCACATGGATCTATTTGGACCAACAACTTACAAGAGTTTGAGAGGCAATCTCTATGGTCTTGTGATAGTTGATGACTACTCTAGATATACTTAGGTGTTCTTCCTTCATGACAAGACTAAAATGGATGCATGTTTCAAGAAGTTTGCCAAGAGAGCACAAAATGAATTTGAAGTGAAGCTCAAGTATATAAAAAGTGACAATGGAAAAGAATTTGACAACACAAACATTGAAGCGTATTGTGATGAAGTAGGGATCAAGCATGAGGTCTCCGTAACATACACTCCTCAATAAAATGGTATAGTAGAGAGAAAGAACCGGACACCCATCACCCTTGCAAGAACAATACTTTATGAGTATAATACACCAGAAGCTCTATTGGCGGAAGCTATCAACACCACATGTTATGCATCCAATCGCCTATTTCTTCAAAAGTTTCTTGGCAAGACCCCTTATGAGTTGCTCAATGGGAAGAAGCCGGACGTATCATTCTTTCGGGTGTTTGGTTGCAAATGCTACACCTACAAGAAGCGACAATACCTAGGGAAGTTTTAAAGATGTTGTGATATTAGTTTTCTTGTTGGTTACTCATCAAAGTCCAAAGCATATCGAGTATTTAATCATGCCACCGCCTTGGTTGAAGAAACATATGATGTGGAATTTGATGAATCTAACGGCTCCTAAGGAGCACATGAAAATCTTGAGGATGTAGGTGGTGAACTATTGAGGGAGGCTATGAAGAACATTCCGGTTGGAGACATCAAGCCCAAAGATGATGAAGACGATGTACAAGTGATTGATCCACCCTCTTCATCAAATGTGCCTCAAGATGATGATAAAGATGGAAGAGTAGAAAATGAAGATACTCATATCTTCCATGATCAAATGGTGACACAAACTCAAGATGTTGATGCTCCACAACCTCTCCCTCAAGTGGTTGATAGAAGAAATTCACCCCTACTACAAGCACAACCACAAGATCTCATCATAGGGAGTCCTTCAAAGGGTGTAATGACTCGCTCTCAAAAACTTGCTTCATTTATTGAACATCACTCATTTGTTTCTTGCATTGAGCCTAAAAATATAGAAGAAGCTCTTCAATATTCGGATTGGATAAATGCCATGCATGAAGAGTTGAACAACTTCACCCGAAATAATGTTTGGACACTTGAAGAGAGACCACAAGATGCAAGAGTCATTGGAACAAAGTGGGTGTACCGCAACAAACAAGATGATCAAGGCATCATTGTGAGGAACAAGGCAAGGCTAGTTGCAAAGGGGTTCTCCCAAGTTGAAGGGTTAGATTTTTGAGAGACCTTTGCACCGGTTGTAAGACTTGAAGCCATTCGTATCCTTCTTGCATATGCATCCCATCATGAAATAAAATTATATCAAATGGATGTTAAAAGTGCATTTTAAATGGTTTCATAAATAAACTAGTATATGTTGATCAACCTCCCGGGTTTGAAGACCCTAGATATCATAATCATGTCTATAGGTTGTACAAGGCGCTATATGGGCTTAAGCAAGCCCCAAGAGCTTGGTATGAGCGCCTTCGGGATTTCCTCATTGAGAAGGGCTTCACTATTAGGAAGGTCGATACCACACTATTCACCAAGAAGCTTGATGGAGAGATCTTTATTTGTCAAGTATATGTTGATGATATCATATTTGGCTCATCAAATGAAGACTATTGCAAAGAGTTTGATGAATTGATGTCAAAGGAGTTCGAGATGTCTATGATTGGAGAGCTTACATTCTTTCTTGGTTTTCAAGTCAAGCAAATGAGAGAGATGATTTTCATCTCTCAAGAAAAATATACCAAGGACCTTCTCAAGAGATTCAAAATGGATGAATGTAAGTCAATCAAGACACCAATGCCATCTAATGGACATCTCGACCTAGATGAGGAAGATAAATCGGTTGATTCAACTCTCTATCGTTCTATGATTGGTAGTTTATTATATTTGACCGCATCTAGGCCCGACATCATGTTTAGTATGTGTATGTGTGCTACATTTCAAGCTAATCCTAAGGAGGCTCACATGGTTGCCGTTAAAAGAATTCTTAGGTACCTTAAGCACATACCAAGCATTGGTCTTTGGTATTCCAAAGGAGCTAGATTTCAACTAGTTGGCTATTCCGATTCGGATTATGCGGTTACAAAATTGATAGAAAAAGCACATCCGGAGGGTGCCATTTGCTTGGTAGATCACTAGTGTCTTGGACCTCCAAGAAGCAAAATAGTGTGGCATTGTCCACCGCCGAGGCGGAGTACATTGCTGCGGGTGCTTGTTGTACACAAATTTTTTACATGAAGCAAACTCTTCTAGACTATGGTGTAGTTCTAGAAAATGTACCTCTTTTGTGTGACAATGAGAGCGCGATAAAGCTTGCTAATAACCTAGTTCAACACTCTCGTACAAAACACATAGATATCCGTCATCATTTTATTAGAGATCATGTTGCTAAAAATAATATATCACTAGAAGGTGTAAGGACCGAGGATCAATTGGCGGATATGTTCACTAAACCGCTGGATGAGGTTATGTTTTGTCGGCTGAGGAGTGAGCTCAATGTGCTTGACCTTAGTAACTTCAATAAAAAATTGGGTTGTGTTGTCCCTTGCATTGCATTGTAATATAAAACATGTTTATTTTTTAGTAATGCACTTAGCGCTTGTCTAACATGGTTAAGATAACCTCTAAAAAGCGTGTGAAAAAGCTTAACCTTGGATCAAACTTGATAAGCAACTAGATTTACTTTCTTGTATTGCATTGCATATGCATGTGTGTTGCTTTATCGGTTCTTTTCGATTATCTTTTGAGCATCCGTTGTGTTCATCCACATGTTGCTCCTCGCCCTTTTATTGCCTATTTTCCTAAAAAGAATTATAGCCGAAGATAAATTATTTTAAAAATTTTTGAGGGTTTGAGAGAAGTCTCTTTTATCAGTCCTAATTTGTGTTTCTTTTTTTGTCTTATTGAAGTTGGGACTCGATTGGAAAAAAGCGGCGCGCAGGATCGAAGCAAAACAATAGCTAAAGGGTGACCGAACGCGTCACCGGACCCTGTTACCGAGCGTCTGGCCAGTACTTCTGAGGAACTGCTGCTGAAGGAGGACCATACGCTAAACAGTGTTTGCCGGACTCTGTGGAGTGTCCGGTCACATGTCATCGGACGCGTCCGATCACCATTTGGGCGTTTCTGGACCTCTCTGTACTCGACCGGACTCTGGTTTGCTGCGTCTGGTCGTTTTCACCGGCGCGTCCGGTCGCTTCAACTCGTGTGGATTAGATCTATTTCTTCTGTAACTATCATGAGGGGCCCCTCATTTATATCACCGCGTCCGCGCCGCCCTCGCATCTCCGCCGCCGCGCCCGTGCCTGCGCCTCCACCACCGCGTCCGCGCCGCCCTGCCCTAGCTAACACGCCGCCCTCGCATCTCCGCTGCCGCGCCTGCGCTCTCCGCACTGGCGCCCTTCTCGCGCTCCCGGTCCTGCGCTCGCCGCGCCTCATCATGCCCGCCCGGTGCTCGCCGCCACCACCAGAGTTTCCTCCTTGCCTCGACTCGTCGGCGTCTTGGCTCCCTCTGGCGACCTCGCGCGTCTTTCTCTCGGCGTCCATACGTGGCAGTGTCATATCATATTTTTTAGTTTGCACCCTATAATTAATGAACATATATCTAGGTTCATCTTTTATGCCTGGGAGTTCCCTTTGAAGTCGGACCGGAGGGAGTAGTAATTCGTAGGCTCCACAAGATAAAGAAAAATCTCTATGAGAGAATGATGTGGTCATATTTCAATTGAAAAGTATTATACGAATGAGCTATTAGATTGCTTATTACAGATAGCAACATCTTCTAGCCATCAGTTAGCTTTATTACTAACCATTCTCTAACAAGAGATACTTTGTATTATATTATTATAAAGTATTGGTTTAAAGTTTCTACCAATAATGAAAACATTTGTTTAGCCATAGTCAAATACTTTGCTAGCAAACATTACTGCTAAAGATTAGTACAAAATTTAATCACCTTATCCATCTCATAATCATCACGTGCTGACAGTACAACCACGCGGTAACTGTAGCACGGAAAATAGCTTTCTTTTCACCGAGGCTCCTCCTCTAGAAAGAATATCCCTGTTATCATGACGCAAGCGAAGACGTCACGAGCCGCTCATGTTGACCGAACACCGGTCTTCCTCTCTGTCTACTGGTTATTATTGGTTTCCCATGCATCCGCGGGCGGCCCGGGTCAACAGCGGTCAGCGGATCACACGCAAGCAATGGCGTCACGCATTTCTGTCTGCGGCAAGCGACGACGTCACGTACACTTGAAGGCGCCGTCGTTGACCAGACGCTGAACCAGCTAGATTACCAGTCCGATCAGTCATCGCACTCTGCCGCTCCGCTCGGTCTTGTTTCATCTATTTCTAGTCGGGTAGCATAGCCAGCGACCGGCCGCCGCAAGAGCAAGCACACGTACCGGAAACCGCGCAGGCACAGCTAGCAGAGGGCGGCGGCGATGGCGGTGAAGCTGTACGGGTGGTCGAGGTCGCCGTTCGTGTCGCGGGCGCTGCTGTGCCTGGAGGAGGCCGGCGTCGACTACGAGCTCGTCCCCATGAACAAGGAGGCCGGCGACCACCGCCGCCCCGACCACATCGCCAGGAACGTACGTACTACTGCTGCTACAACTACAACTTTACGACCTTCCCTTTGATCTTGATTACTGACGCCCTCGCTGCTGTCTTCTGTCCGTGCTTGGTTTGGTTGCAGCCGTTCGGGCAGGTGCCGGTGCTCGAGGACGGAGACCTCACCGTCTTTGGTAAACATCTAATTCACTCCATTTTTTGGGCCTTCTTCTCGCTTACTACTATCTCATCATCAATGAATTCTCGTTGCCACTCAACTCCAATATATATATCTCAAGTACTCTCTCTCTCTCTCTCTCTCTCTCTCTCTCTCTCTCTCTCTCTCTCTCTCTGTGTGTGTGTGTGTTCATTTTTGTAAGGAGTACGTATTTTGTTCCGCTAGGACAATGATTATGCATTTAGATCATACAAAATTATAGTGAATGTTTTTTAAAATAAGAATACTTTTATATCAACTGAGTGCTCATTGGTAAAAGAATTATCCTACTAGCGACCGACAACGCATGCCTAGGACAAAGGGTGATGATCGACAATTTTGCGTTTACTCCACCTGCTTCTCTTGTTTAATTATTGAATATATAAACTAACTATGCATATCTTCTCATGCCGGTTCTTTAGTTACAAAACAAAAATTGCTAGTCAAGCTTAATTAACAAATCTCCACTTGACCAAGCGTAATATGGTACAAATAAAAATTTAGCTCCACAACTCTCTCATGCATGTGGCCACCTAAGCCTGCTTCATTGCTTGCTAGCGTTACTAAAAATGTAAATGAGCCTGGCCTCATTTACTTTCTTTTTTTTTCCTCTGCCTCGTCAACTATAGAGAGAAATACAAATCTTGACATGAGGATATTGCCAAAGCAACTATAATGACCTTAACCAAGATTTACCGGCCGGGGGCAAAAGAGGGATAAGCAAAAGAGAGCTATATAAAAAATGAGTATAAGTGAGGCATCATGGAAAGGTGGTATCTTTAACAATCCATGGTCTAAATCTCATTAGCTTAGGCTCTGTTTGGATCTATTAGCTGCTAAGAGTTAGGTTGCTAATAATTCATAGCTACTATTAGCTAGTTGGGTTCAACTAGTGAAATAGTTACTAGTTAGGTATTCAACTATAACAATTAGCTAAACTATAAGCTAGAGCTGTTTGGATCCAAGGTGTCAATTTTTTTTAGAAGAATCCAAACATGGCCCAATATTAACAACACAACATGGTGGCCTATGTGGGATTAGAGCTAATAAGAGTGGGGCTAAAGTAAAACAGTTGGGTCGTTTATATGGAGTTAAGTGACATGAAACACTTTATATGGTTTTCTTTAAAACATGATATATACTTTTATGTTGAGAAACAGGTGCATCCATAAAACACCTCAACGTCATTTGTTTCGAAATAAAATAATGTCCACCACCACCACAAAATTTCTCAATATGTATACATATTTGTTTATTATATTCAGAATCGCGCGCAATTGGAAAGCACGTGCTCCGCAAGTACAAGCCGGAGCTCCTGGGCGCTGGCAGCCTGGAGGACACGGCGATGGTGGACATGTGGCTGGAGGTGGAGGCCCACCAGCACCACCCAGCCGCGGGCGCCATTGCCCACGAGTGCATCGCCGCGCCCGCCTTGCTTGGCCGCATGCCCAACCAGGCCATCATCGACGAGAACGTCGAGAAACTTAAGAAGGTGCTCGAGGTGTACGAGACGCGGCTGAGCAAGTGCAGGTACCTCGCCGGCGATTTCCTCAGCCTCGCCGACCTCAGCCACTTCACGGTGATGCACTACTTCATGGCCACCGAGTACGCCGCGCTGGTGGAGGCGCATCCGCACGTCAAGGCCTGGTGGGAGGAGCTCGCCGCGCGGCCGGCAGCCAAGAAGGTGGCAGGGTTCTTGACCATTGGCTCCGGGGTGACAACTGAGAAGTGAAGAATAGTGTTGTAGCAGATCATTTCACACTATAAACCGTGTCTGGTACTTCTATCATTGTAATAATTAAGTGTTACTTGCTTTGAGTTCTGATTGCTATATTTTCATATGAATAATAGAGGTTTGGAAATTAACTGTAACTATTGCATTAGAGAAAAATAATAACCAAATTAGTTTTAGGTGGGCAGATGTCTTTAATGACTCGCACTACCACATAAATGGTTTATAAACACAAATAAGATTTTTTTGATATCATGAACATGCAGGACATTGTTGAGAACAAGAGATTTAGAGGAGCCAGGATTTTGAGATTGACCAATGTGAGTAATAATAAGCAACCTGTACCATTGGCATTCAGGGGCGGAGCCAGAATTTAAATATAGGGGACCATTTAAGCCGACAACAATCATACATGGTGAAATGAAATGCATATAAGACAATAGCATAGATAATATCTAAATAAAAGTTTATTTTACAATATACATAAAAACTAAAATTCAGTGAATATTACACAGGCAATCATGGTAAGCTATTGTCAAACTATGAAAAAGGAAACAAAATTTAATTAGCACTAGGTCTCTAACTTTTTAAAAAAAATATTTTATAATAAAAACGAGATAAGAAAGAACATAAGGACTGTCCTAAATAATATAGACGTAGTTGGAGATCAATATGAAGGGAGAACAAACAAGAAAAACACTAATTATATTTGTTAATAACTAGCTATAGAATTGTACTGTATAGTAAAAACAAAAGAAACAAAAATACAATAGAAAAACTAATCCTAGATTATTACGAAAGAAGAATAAGCAATTAAAGCACTAATTAGCATCATTACCTTGCTAATTGAATGATTAAGTAGTTAATTAAGGAGGGAGCATTGTGGAGGCACCGGCATGTTTGGGGGTGCCAGGCCGCCGTCAGCCCCTCCCTCCCTCCGCCACTGTTGGCAACCTGGACGTGGGGAGCGCTCATGGAGAGTAATGTGGCAAAATATTGTGCAAACTGGCTTCTCAGTGCAACCTTGTAAACTCTGCTGTGTGTCGTCCGATCTGAAATGTGCGGCACGCATGAATCGCTCCTGCTCCTAGCTAATTTTCTATGTAACCCCTCGCCTCCACATAGACCATTTTACATGGAACACCCTGTTCGAAGGAACATTTGTACAACAGTCCTCTCATCTCCCATCTCTAGACCGCCTCCAGCAGCTCCAGACCTCCGGTCCTCCACGGCTCCACCATGCCTCGGCCAGGTCCACCGTGGGGTTCAGGCCAGGGTGACAGTTCCTCACCATTCCACTCTTCTCCACCAGACATCCCCCACTTTAATCGCCTCAGGCTGTGCATCTACTGGATGTGACTTTATTAAGGTTCGTGTGTTCGACATCTGATGCTTCTGCATACACGGTGGTTTAAGTGGTAACCAGCTCGCGCGATTAACTTCTTCCCTTCATTGTGCTGTTCATGGAGCACTAGCGATTCATGTGTGCCGCACATTTCAGATCGGACGACACACGGCTGACTTTGCAAGGTTGCACTGAGAACCCAGTTTGCACTCAATATTTTGCCGAGTAATGTTTCCTACGGGCTAAACTTTAGCCCTGTCATATCAGATCTTTAAATACCAATTAGGAGTATTAAATATAGGTTAATTATAAAACTAATTACACAGATAGAGGCTAATTTGCGAGACGAATCTATTAAGTCTAATTAGTCCATGATTTGACAATGTGGTGCTACAGTAAACATTTACTAATGATGGATTAATTAGTCCTAATAGATTTGTCGCGCAAATTAGCCCAGGGCTTATGTAATTAGTTTTACAATTAGCTTATATCTAATCCTCCTAAGTAGCCTCCGAACATTTGATGTGACAAGACTAAACTTTAGCCAAAGGCGATTAAGATCACAAGTTAGGTGATATGTCGTGCCGGAGTCCAGTGTAGCAATTGGTGTCAACATTGTAGGTGCCGCTACTAGAGTTCACCGTGTTGGCAACATGCTTGCGGTGTTCTTCCTCTGCCAGGCGTGATTGAAGCCGTTGCGGCAACCGTGCGCGTTATGGCTTCACTGGTAGAGAAACGACCTTTCATCGATGGTCAAAAAAGTATTTAGTACCGATATAAAATTGCAACCGTGACTAAAGGAAGGACTGGGACCTTTAGTCTCAGTTTGTATAAACTAGGACCAATTTCATCATTTAGTCCCGATTGTAACGGTTACCAAGACGCATCAGTACGGGAGGCTTTAGTCCAGGTTTGAGACACGAACCCAGACTAAAAGTGTGACTTTTAGTCCTGGTTTGAGATACAAATCCAGACTAAAGATACCTTTAGTCTCGATTTATGTCTTAAACCCAGAGTAATGGTGCCTCCAGAGTGACTTTAAAATAAAAGCATATCTGGTCAAAGTTACATACGTGGTGTAGTTGGTCTTGAGTTTAAATTATCGTACCCGCACTTATTTTACCCAATATAAACACTAAAAAAATATCTTTAGTCTCGATTGCATAGTCCAGCTCCCGGGAACCTGGACTACCGCCGCTTGCACACCTGGCAAGTGGGCTTGGGGCCACCACCCCTGCAAGGTGCCAGTTCCACGACTGTGCCCTTAACCACGGCCAATGCCACTTTGGTTTCCACTACAGTTCCCAGACTCCTCGCAGTCTCCACGGTTCTCTTCTCGTTAGGGATAAGGAAGGCCTTGTTTATATGACGAAATTTTTTGGAAAATGGTATTGTAATATTTTCGTTGTTATTTAGTAATTAGTGTCAAATCATAGTCTAATTAGACTTAAAAAATTCGTCTCATGAATTTTATCTAAACTGTGTAATTAGTTTTATTTTTTATTTATATTTAATGCTTCATGCATGCGTCCAAAGATTCGATGTGACAGGAAATCTTGAAAAAATTTGTAAAATTTTGGGAACTAAACAGGAACGAAGAAGAATCTTTTAAATTCCACTGGCACGTGGTCCCATGAGGTGCAAAAATTGTTTTTTAACATTCATCTCGTAGAGTCTGTCAACGGTTGACGTGAGATACCGCCTTACCCAGTTTGCATAGTAGAGGGGATTTTTCTATGAGCGAAAGCAACGGCGTCCACGTCTTCCTTTTCCAACTTCCCTTCTATAGCTTACATAGAAGCAGGACATTCTTATGAAATCCAAAAACCAACAAGTTCTAGCTAGCTTTTGCTCAATTTAATTTACAAAACTTTTAGTGCGAGAAGCAATACATCCGCAATCCAAAATTACGAACTATCCCCAAGTACCGTATGCCCAGTTGAATAATCTGACACTAGCATCAAGTCACCACGTACAACTAAACTCCATGATCATTATTAATCATATCTTATATATAAGTGTATAGCAAAAGCTATGTACCTAAAAAAGCCAAAACAACCTGTAATTTAGGACAAATGGTGGTACGTATCATTTACAACATTCTCACACTTATTTTTGTTAAAAAAATAAGCAAGTGTTCTTATAGCAACGACTGGAAAGGGTAGCACTCCTACTACACCCACCGTCTCAAATTATAGTTCGCTTTGACCTTGTACAAAGTCAAACTTTTCTAACTTTGATCATATTTTTAGAAAAAAAAAATATCTACAAGTTCAAATAATTGCTATATTGAGACATAGCTCATGAAGTATTTAACAAAACTAGTTTCATAATGTGGATTTGATGTATTTTTCTACAAACTTGATCAAAGTTAGGGATGTTTGGCCTAGGATAAAGTAAAAGTGAATTATAATTTGATGAAATGGAAGGATTATCGTTTTCCCCAAGGAAAAGGAAGGTTGCAGATTATATTGTACAAAAATGTGAACAGCTGCAAATTTTGATTGCAGAGAAGGCAGTACCACAAGGAAAATAACATTTTTGCAACCCAGCAACAAGAAAATTTGATAGGGTTGAAAGAAGGGATGCACACCTCCTGCAATGACTTCCAAATCATCAGATACATTTAACGTCAACTTTTTAGTGCAACGTTTTTCTTTGCGTGTCTGGAACAAACCAACCTACAAAGGTAAAACACATTTATTAGTGCCAATGGTTAATCTCATCCAGAACAAGATTGTTCAATCTGAGCAAGAAATAAGTTATAAAGAACTTCAACAAAGCTCAGTTCACAGTTTTTATTGGAAAATTGGTAAACAATAGGGAAAACATAAAAAGAAAACTAACATCATGAAAATACAATACCAAGACATTTGCGGGTAAAAGAGCATCATAAAACATTCTAACAACTAACAAGAACCAGTCCAATTTGTTTAATTTCCATTTACTTGCACACTCTACCCTTGTCTTATACATAATACCCCACTAAACTTATACATAATACCCCCCTAAAAATATTTGCAAGTTATGTATATAAGGACAAATAGAAGAAGTAAATTGCAAATTAAAAACTAAACTCACTGTGAGATCCACATTGGAACCAAGGCCACCTCCTTTCTCAACACAATGCTCACATGTGCGCAGCAGCATGATCTCAAGCTGAAAATTGGAACAAATATTAAATATCAAGATAATAAACATGGTGCCACATATGAGCTCCAAAGTTTAGCAAAAAGAATTATTAGTCTTTGATGTTTACACTAAGTAATGTAAATTTATTTTCAGCTCATGTAAGTGGTGCTACTAAGTATTTAGAATGCTCTTGCATTATTACTAAGTAGTGCTCTACTGCTGTTGTTCTAGTGCTCTTACACAATTATTTAATAGCTACTTACTTTAGTTCTTTGTTACTTCAGCAGCAAAGCGACATGAATATAAGATTGAGACTGGGATCTAGAGTTCTGGACACTTCACAATCAAATCTCACAAGTAACCAACTGACCATCAATAATGTCTTGATGCTTTCTACATACTCCATCCATTCCAAATTATAACACGTTTTGGTTTTTCTAGATACGTTGCTTTTACTATAAGACATGGTCGTGTTATGCTCTTTAGGTACATGTACATTGTTTCTCCCCAATCAATCTTTTGTTTTTCCCAACTTACAACTATGCATCTAGACATAGAGTATATCTAAATGCATAGCAAATTTATGTATATAGAAAAGTCAAAACGCAAGACGATTATTCGGATGACTAGGGCCCACTAGGCTGGACTAATCGAACTCATCGGAAACTCATTGTTAGTAGTCAACTGCTTAGTGCATGGCAACTAGGATCGATTAGATAATTTGAGAATATTGGATATGAAATTATTTCTACTTCACTTCAGGAACATAGCACATCTGTAATACACTTACCTCTACCGTGGTAGGAAAACATTTTTCATTCAATGATTCAATGACATCACCATTTCTGATTCCAATTTTTTCGGCAGCAGATCCCTCAGATACCTGTGGTTTAGTTAGTACTAAAATATGATTCTACAAAATAATCAACAACAAGATATACCTCTTGAACAATAAGACCAGCATTAATATTGAACTTGCGGGATATCTTTTCTTTGTGGGAACTATGTAGAAACTTAATAGAAGAAACTTTCAGTCCAAGGTGCAGCCGGGGCACACACCTATGGCAAATAAATAATGGTTAGATTTCAGAAGAGATAGGCACAACCAAAGGTGAAGTGTGAGGATTGACTATTAAGCGCACCGCGCATTGCCGGGGGGTTTGTTCAGTAAAATGAATGTATTGTTACTGTTTTCACAAGCTGTCATTGCAAACGTGGTGTGTTTACACCGTATATCAAATGGCAAAGTCTCCTAAAGAAACAGTAGCATCCTATCAACATGCTTATCCTCTTCACTTCCCATGTTATGGAGAACAGAGCAGTACTAAAGACACAACGTGTTTCAACAAAACACAAAACAAGGATTGGAATGGGAGCAAATAAGTGCAAACATGTCAAAGCAAAGAGTGCACTGCCCCTTTATTGCTTTTGTTGAGGGATGAAATGGTATATAGTTATATACTCATCAAGAACATGTTGTAAACATGGCAGAAATATTTTAGGGAAATTGCAAAAAACACCCATGTCCCATTTTGATCGAGACTCCAGCCCACAGTGGCAGAACCTGACTTGTAATCAGGGGGGATTGTCCATAGATAATATGACAAAATTAGCTTTATTACCAGATTAATCACAGTTTCATCGTCAGCTAGTACTACTTGCTGGAGATAGATGGGCCATTACACACATAGTGGACTGTTTAGACTTACAAATATAAATACATGAACATTCACTAATCTTTCTTAGCCAAGTAGGAACCTAAACTAGGCGCCGCCTGTGCCACCCCATAAGGCTTTTTTTTTTGCCAAAACCCACCCCTGCTGTATTTAGTTGAAAAAACACTTAACTGTGCGGTGTGGTGGTTGTTGCATCGAAACCAAGGGGGGTGGGATTTTGCAATTAAGTGTATATATTAAAATCAAAGGAAGATATGGATTAGTTTATGCAATTTTCCCAACATATTATAACATCTAAATCATCTTAATAAATGCTAAACAAAACCAATATATAGAGTATAAATGAGGAAAAACACATCAAACATAATTATGAAGCAACTAGATAATAGAAATGAAAAGAACTACTTACTTCAAATCCCTCCACATACGCAGGCACCTGAGTATAAGTGGAGTTGGAATGAAAGCTGCTCTTGGAGTGGGATTGGCCATTCCCAAAACTCCTCCTTTTGTGTCGATGACTGATCCTCCAGTGCCAAACTGATAAATTTGTCAAAATATTAGATTTGCTAAGAACAAAAGTTAAGAATGATTTGTAATACTTGAGAAATCAACAAAATGTACATTAGATGCAAACAACAATTAAACACATATGAATAGTTACATTAGTACCTTGGCGACTTCACACTCAACATACATAAAGTGAAAGTGGTCGAAAAGTCCTGGATCTATATGTTCCACTCTGCCGAAACAAGCTTCTAAACCTCTTGGCCATACTCTATCAGCTCGGTGCTAAGAGGTAACTCTGCAGACATTTTCACCACCACCTCAAACAATGTAATATTGTAGTGCTTTTGATAGTTGATTAATGTGCCCTTTTGAATGGTATCATCCAATAAATGAATTAGAACCTGAAACGACAAAACAATAATGATATTTTTCTTCCCCAAAACAGTAACAAAGAAACACTTAAAGCATGTCATAATTTCTTTTAGAAAATGTCTATGCATCAAACCAGTGAATAGTCTAAATGACTTGCAGTCTAACCTTAGCATCGAGGGCATATTCATGCGGACACGTACAGTCATCAACTTTTGGGGATTTAGTGCATAATAGAGTTGCAGATGTTAAAACAGTACCACGTCCAGTTTCCTTATCCAAGTCAATCAAGAAACCTGAACACCGTGTCAAGAACTTGCCATCTCTATGTTATGTATATAGTGTATACAAGCAATTAGTGACACATTTAACAAATCTTCTATATAAACTCATTTATTCTAGTGCAATTATAGTACATATATAATTAACCAACATTAGAAAATTTTGCAGTACTATTTTACAAACTCTTAAAAAAGAATAATTGTGAATATATATATATATATATATATATATATATATATATATATATATATTAGTTTGGCACTGGATATATATATATATATATATATATATATATATATATATATATATATATATATATATATATATATATATATAAGCAAACTTAACAAAGCTTTGAAAGAAGTATTATATAAACTCGTATAAAAGAAGTACCAATATAGGAAGTAAGTCCCAAAACAGCCTTGGCAGTTTGGAAAAATGTCTCTGTGGCAGACTCTTGATCAGGAAACAATGATTCATCATCAAGGCATGTAATGGGCCCACTCTTGTCGAGAGCTAAGAGCTTCTTCTGACAGTCTGCATGTATATATTGAAATAAAGGGAAAAAAACATTTTCAACTTATAAGGTTCTGTCAATTGTAATCAAGTAGGGGAAAATTCACAGCATACCAAAAAGAACCTAACTTTGGAGATATATACGATTAAAAGATTCAATCTTTGTTACATAGTATCAAAAGATTGCAACGTTACAACTTTGCCCACTCCGTCCATTTCAGTTACAAAATCAGATTTTTTTTTTATGAATATCGGATTTATGAAAAGACAGTTCTACCGTAGGCCTAAATTCATCATACATCTTCCCTCTTCATCCCTCATGCACGAACAAACCAAACTAGAGTTCCCAGAACCCACGCAGCCCCTAGACGAGCGGATCTCAATGGCAGCGGACCTTCCCGGTGGCGCATCTCCCCATCTTCCCCAGCGACTCGAGCTCCTCCGACCTCTCCTACATGGTGTGTGTCTTTCCTTTCTCTTCTCTCCCTTCGCGTTGCGAGTTCATGGTCCTAACCCTAGTATTTTGTGGGATCTTGTAGTGATGATTGATTGTAAAATCAAGTGGGGCTTGGGCTGAGATGGATCCTACTGGTGTTTTGGATGGTAATCTCTTCTAACCATCTCTAAATTCTTCAGCCTACCTCCAGCCTAGTGGTTGGAGCTCCTCAGTAGCACCCCAACAGGTCAAGTTCAAATCCCCATGGGGACGAATTTCTAGGCTGGGTTAAAAAAAATAGGTAGGGGGCTCCCCTACTGACGGTTCAAAAAGTTCTTCTAATTTTTGTACTGTATGTGTATATGAGCATATGGGCAGATGGTTGTGAAGTGAACAAATGGGACCAGTGCTATGTGAAGTGAATAAATGGGGCCTAAGATTGTTGTCGATATGTCCTTATATTTGTTCTATACATTCTATGTGTGTGCATTCTATTACAGGAACAATCCAAATAATGTGTGCAGGTTAGAGATTGTCAACTCGTACTTCACTGTTCAAAACGGTAAAAAGGTGTACAATCGAGGCAAGGCTGTAAACTGGTTTGCAAATCCAGAAGAATATGCACTCATTGACTTAGAGAAAGATATTGATCCATATTTCAAATAGGGCAGCAACCAAAAAGCCATTTTCTAGGTTGTTACAAAAGGTGACAATTTGCAGCAATAAATTGGATTCGGATGCTCAGCTTCTTGACCTACTAAGGTCATCTGATCTGGTGAAGTTGTTCATGATAGTTGGTACATGTGAGGAAGGCTGGTTCCAGCGCACCGAGCTAGCCCGCCACAGCGTTGCAAGAAGGCCGTCGCTCCAGCGCGCAGAAGCGTGCGCATTGTGGTCATGTGTTGGCCTAGGGGAGACACTCAAGCAAAGCCCGTCAAGTGCTGATGAAGAGGCTGGGCATCCTCGAGGAAGAAGGCCTCAGCTCCCATGATCTGCTGCTACGCTACTTTAACTTGTTCAAAGGGCCTCTCACGGATGTTGTTGTCAAGGCTTTGACAACCTTATGTGGTCTCAACAATGCAGCTGGCTTAGAAGTCTCAAGTCCTCAAGGGCTACAAAATTGTATCAATAATAGGAAACCTCCAGGATCTCCTCATTTAGGGTCGACATGGAGTTTCCAGACTAAATGTCATTTTAGCTAGGTGGGGCGACAGCCTGGGCCTTGATCGCCTCCCCAAGCAAGTCCAAAGCAACTCTACCACCAGTTAGTTTGTCGAGCAGCCCGTTTGTAAGCAACAATCTTTTGCTTTGTATCACATCGCCGCCCGGCAGCCTAATCGGCCTTGATTTAGCGGCATTTCCGAACTACTATTGCATTATGTATCACCAAGGCGCTTCTACAAACCGCACCTTCTATTGGCCTTCTTCAGTCTGCCTCCCTACATGTGCTTTCCTAATACAGGGGTTCACTTCTTGTTTTTATGGCTCAGCATAATTGTCAAATTCTTATCTGGAACATCAGGGGCCTAAATGACGGCGCGCGCCAAGACTCGGTGAATGAATAAGTTAGAAGCACCGGTGCCACCATTGTGTGTTTAAAAGAAACAAAGATGCAGCTTCTTGATCAAAATGTTGTGATCCACACAGTGGGAGCAAAATTCGCATCCTCCTTGCTGTGAATAAAGAGTTCTTCGACATCTCCGACATTGTATCAACTACGAACATGTTAACCGCTGCGATCACCATGAGGGCGGATGGGATAAAGTGGAACATTATAGTTGTCTACGGACCGCGGCGATCACCATGAGGGCGGATGGGATAAAGTGGAACACTATAGTTGTCTACGGACCGCAAGGACGCAGCCAAAATCCAATTCCTCCAAGAATTGAAGAACATTCCCCCACCTGAGCACAACAGATGGCTCATCTTGGGAGACTTCAATCTCATCTACCAGGAGGAAGATAAAAACAACTCAAACCTCAACGGTGATTGATGGGCGCATTTTGGACGACGATCGATCATTTGCGTCTAAAAGAAATCAAGCTAAAATGGACGTTGTTTCACCTGGAGCAATCAGCAGAACTGCCCAACGCTCACTAGTATTGACAGATTCCTATGCACCCCAGAGTGGGAACTGATTTTTCCTGCCTGCTTCATGCGTTCCCTGCCATCTCTCATGTCAGACCACACCCCGTTGCTACTGCAAGGTGAGATGGACCACCATCATAACACATCCTTCCGGTTTGAAAATTTCTAGACCGAGATAGAAGGCTCCGAGGACCTTGTCCAGAACATTTGGAATAGGCCAGTTAGCTCTGCTCTCCCTATGAAACGCCTGCATATCAAAATGGCGCGTGTTGCAAAAGGAATCATGAGGTGGAAGAAAGAAAAAATTGGAGACACAAAGCTGCAGTTGGCTATTGTGAAGGAAGTCTTGCTACAATTAGAAGCAGATCAAGAGTATAGGCTCCTCACAGATCTAGAGCTTGACCTATGCCAGCGCCTCAAAGCTCATAGTACGGGGCCTGCGGCCATAAAAAAAACAAAAATCAAGCAAAGATCGAGGCTCACCAACATCCGATCTGAAGATGCCAACACAAAATTTTTGCACATTAAGCCTAGTGCTTGCCGGAGGAAGAAATACATACACTACCTACACACGGATGAGGGGATTGCGATTGCTCATGATGAAAAAGAAAAAGTGATAGGGGATTATTTCGAAAACCACATCGGCACCGCAGTCCAAGAGCCACAACCATCAATTGGCAAGCCCTTGGCTACACCCCGCATGATCTCTCGGACCTAGAGGCGCCTTTCTCTCAGGAAGAGGTAAAAATAACATAAACTTCATGCCTTCCGACAAAGCCCCAAGTCCAAATGGTTTCACTGGTGCCTTTCTCAAAGCGTGTTGGGAAATCATCCAAGATGATGTCATGGCTGCCATAAACAGCCTATTCTCAATGAACGCCCAGGGATTTGAGTGGCTTAACTCGGAATGCATCGTCCTGCTCCCCAAAAAAGCGGACGCATTGAGGGTCACAGATTTCAGGCCCATCAGCCTCATCCACAGCAATGCAAAGATCTTCTCCAAATTGTTCGCTAGACTTAACTCCCTGGTCTCCAATTGACAAAGCGCATTCGTAAAGAAAAGAAGCATTCATGACAACTTTCTTTATGTCCAGGGAGCTGTACGAAAGCTGCACAAGCAAAAGATGCCGACCTTGTTCATGAAATTGGAAATTCACAAAGCTTTCGACACGGTAAATTGGGGGCTACTTGCTCGAGATTCTATAAGCGCTTCAGGCCCTGTTGGCATGAGTGGATTTCCATCCTATTCCGTACACCAACCTCCTCAACGGGAGGCAAGGCCCAGTTTTAGCCATGCCAGAGGCGTTCGACGGGGGGACCCGCTTTCACCCATGCTCTTCATTTTGGCTATGTACCATCTCCAGCGCTTGCTTGATCTAGCAACACAACAAGAGATACTCACCCCATCACCCCTCACAGCAACAAAATGGAGAACTTCCATTTATGCGGATGCGGCCATATTCATTAACCCAATCAAAGAGGATGTGGAGGCTACCATAACAATCCTCCAAGCGTTCGGCACCTTTTCAGGACTCCACATAAATTTCAAAAGAGCTCCGTACACCCAATTAGATGCGATAATGTGGATCTAGACCAAGTCCTCTCACCTTTCACCGGCAGCAAAGGCGCCTTCCCATGCAAATATGTGGGGTTGCAACCCTGCAACTCCACACTAGATCGCTTTAGAAGATCCATGTGCAGCCTCTCATTGAGCATATTGGACAAAGACTACAAAAATGGAAAGGAAGAGGGCTAAACAAAGCAGGACGCCTCACGCTCGTCACTTCAGTCGTCTCCTCCATGCCAAGCTACCACCTCACGGTGTTTCCTTTGTTTACTTGGGCAAGGAGGAAAATTGACAAAATTAGGATATCTTTCCTGTGGAAGGGAAAGAAGAATGCCAACGACGGGCACTGTCTAGTTAACTGGCCAACAGTTACCAAACTTAAGGATCTTGGGGGCTTAGGGGTGCCTAATCTAGATAGATTTGGAAGAGCTCTCCGTCTACACTGGCTATGGCAAGAATGGGTTGAAGAATCCAAGCCGTGGCTCCATTCAGACCACCCTTGTAGTGATGTTGATCGCCTCCTCTTCAACTCCTCAATCACAATAGCGTTGGGTGTTGGAGCAAAGGCTCGTTTGTGGCACCATAACTGGCTTGAGGGGGGGGGGGAAGCTCCCAGGTATCTAGCCCCTAACCTGTTCCGACTTGTTTTGAGAAAAAAATAGAACGGTGCAACATGAGCTTCGGAACAATAATTGGATACGCTCGCTAAGGAGGAGAATCACCTTGGCCGCCCACATTGAAGAATTTGTTTCCCTATGGATAAGAATTCAGGATGTGCACCTCAAGCAGGGCGTTCGGGAATCCATTACTTGGGGATGGACACCGGACGGTGTTTATTCCACCCGTTTAGCATATCGGATCCAATTCAAAGGCTCCTTCAGAATTTTCCGAAGTGATCTAATTTGGAGAGCGCAAGTGGAGAACAAATATAAGATATTCTCCTAGATTCGAGTGCACGACAAAATTCTTACGACGCATAACCTACAAAAGAGAGGGTGGCCACATCAAGAACATTGCGTGCTTTGCATTGGACCCTTAGAAACCGGCCTACACCTTTGCTTGTGTTGTCCTTTCGCTAAGGCGATCTGGAATCAAATTCTCTCTTGGGCCTGCACTGAGCTACGATCAACCCAGTACATATCAAAGCAAGGTGGGAGGAGACGGCAAGAAAGTGCCAAATGCAGAGCGGAGACGGCTCAATGGGGTGGTGATCTACACCTTTTGGAACATTTGGAAGGAGCCTAACAGGAGAATTTTCAACAACTCCACAGAAACGGTGCTACAAGTGGCTGCAAGAATTAAGGAAGTTATAGAGCAGAGGAAGAGA